AGCATAGAGCATTACAAGGCATGTCTTGTAGCAAAAGGTTTCCATCAACAACCTGGCAATAATTATTCAGAAACCTTCAGCCCAGTGATTAAACCGACAATCATTAGAATAGTGCTCTTTATTGCTATAAGTAAGAATTGGCTCCTTTGGCAATTAGATATTAATAATGCCTTTCTCAGTGGTACTCTTGATGAGAAAATATTTATGCAACAACCTATCAATTTTGTTGATGAGAAGTTTTAGTTCAAGTTTATCAATTATGCAAATCATTGTACAAGTTGAAATAGGCCCTTCGTGCTTGGTTTTGAGAATTAAAGAATTTTTCTAATTACTCAAGGACTTTGTTGTTCTAAGTCTGATCCCTCTCTGTTTATTTTAAGGAAATCTAAGGTTGTTGTTTATTTCCTTGTCTACATTGATGATATCTTAATCGCTAGAAATTCTACTCAAGTTGTCGATCAACTACTATCTTTACTCAATTCACTGTTTTCTTTGAAAGATCTTGGTCCTTTGCTTTTTTTTTTTCTTTTTATTTTGGGTGTGGAAGCTATCACTACTTCAATTGGTTTGTTCCTTAGCCAACATAAGTAGATTGGAAAAATTTTACAGAGAACACAAATGTTTGAAGCTAAGGTCATTAGTACCCCTTTGGCATTCTCTTGCTCCTTACAACAGGCTACTAGCAATACTTTAACAGATCTTATACTCTATCCCCAAATTGTTGGTGGATTGCATTATTTGTCTCTTACTCACTCGAACATATCCTTCATAGTAATAGGCTTTCTTAGTTCCCTTATGGTCCTATGAATTTTCATTAGCAAGTTGTTAAACGAGTGTTACAATATCACAATGGTACACAATATCATGGTTTACTTCTACGACCTCAGCAAAATTTGTCCTTGCATGCATTTTTTTATTCCAACTAGGCTAGTGATCGAGATACTTGTATATCCACCACTAATTTCATTGTATGTTGCTCATAGATCTATGGAAGCAAAATACTATACTTTTTCTACTGCATCCTTTGAACTGGTTTGGGTTCTAAATCTTTTAACTAAGCTTGTTATTTCCTATCTTGCTTCACCTCCATTGTTTGGTGATAATCTTGGTGCCACGTATTTGAGTAGTCATATGGTCATGCATTCACAAATGAAACATATTGCCATTGATCTTCATTTTGTTCGTGATTAAGTTGAACAACAAGTCTTTCATGTGGCACATATTTCTTCCAAGGATCAATAGGCTGATGGTTTCACTAAACCCTTTCCTAACACATGATTTTTACTATTGTGGTCCAAGATTGTCATCACTGATGGCTCCTCCATCTTGCTATTAAATGAGGATTTGATTCTCTAGATTATCATTGATTTCCTATTATTATAGTTATATTGTTTCTTTCCTTGTATTGCTTATTTCCTTAGCTTTGGAGAACACAGTACAAACCTTGTATATATATGAATTCAATTATAAATAAGAAACAAGCAATTCAACCTATCTTTTCCATGCTTTATCAATGCTAAAATGAATGTTAAAGAGGTGACAATTCTTTTCATCATTGTCTCAATAATTCCTTGAAAGAGGTGACAATGGCCATGTTGGACTGGAAGCACCACCTACTCATCCAAGCATTGTTGACATGTCGACCTCTAATAAAGGAGTTCCTTTGATTGTTATGGTGAGAATAATTCTCCCTCCCTTTCCCCCACCCTTTGTGGTCCTCTGATACTTTCCTTCAAACTCATGAGATTTATTCAATTTGTTACAATTACCAGCTTGAAGGTTGACAATCCTCTATATGGTTCTACTCTAATTGATTATGTAAGACCTTTTATCATCCTAATATCCCTTTTATTCTTACATTTAAGAGATGCTTGAGTAAATTTTGTTATGTGTCACACAATCTTTATTAAGGTATATTTTCTTCACTTTTCTTCACTTTTCAAGCTCATTTTAGGTTGTGGATTAATTTTGCATCAATGGAGATTGATCCTAACATTTCAAAATGGTTTGTTCTAGTAAGGGATACGGTGTTTTCCTTCCTCTTGTGAGTTGTTTTTACAACTTTTGAAATTTTTTATAAGTGATTTTCACATTCCTCTTTTTGGTCAAAACATGTAAAACTTTTTCCAAATTCTAAATTTCTTTTTTTTTTTTTTTGGTTGCATAGGAGATGTTGGATATGGGATTTTCAACATAGGTTGTTGGGATTTGGTTAAGTGGTATTTTTTTTTTAAAAAAAAAAAATTGATTTTGATTCTGTTATCATAGACCATAATGCTCGAAGCATAATTGTTGCATGTGACTGAAATTGTTTAATAAGTGGAGCCTTATTTGGAAATTTAGAGTGTTCTACAACACAAATTAGGAAAGAAGACAATAAAGTAAACACAGATTTTGGCCACTATTTGTGAAAAGGTATAGGGCATTTCTCTTTCAAATGTATGTTTCTTTAATACCCAATGTTATCCATTTTATGAAACTTATAATGGCTATTGATTCCAACTTATGAATTTATTAAGTTAGTTAATTGGGAAACTATCACTGCTTTCTAATTAGGATAGGGGCATTAATTTGGCAAACTTCAGAAGTTATCATTGATATGGTTGACTCTAAAGACATAACTGAACCAAACAATGATGGATGAAGAAAAGAGATATAATTGTTTCTTACGTTTCATAATTGAAAAGCATATGATTTTTAGAATGAAGGAATAATCTATATTTTTTTTTTCATTTAAAATAGGAAGTAGATATCTTGATGAGTTGAAACTATATAATTATATGTTTTTTCTTCAAAGTATGTACATTGCTTATATGCCAAATGGATAAGAATATTAGATTGATTTGAAACTTATTAGAGTGAAACTTAATTCACAATTCATGACCTTAAAATTTATAACATACTAATGTAACTCCATCTCAATCGGTTTTGAATTGCTTTCTTCTCTTGGGACAAAAAAAAAAAAAGTTCAAACTCGTGTTTTTACTTTATTATTCAATTTATCTTGAAATCAAAATCCATTATAGGGGTTTTGCATCAATTTCTTTTCTTCTATGTTAATGTGACATGAAATAACAGATTAGTAAAATTGAATTTGGTGTAGGCAAAACATTTGGAATTGTTTTGCTTTATGATTATGAGCTTCATTTGTTAGATATTAAGCTTGAAATGATGAGTAATGGAACTTATTTATGTTAACAAGATGATTTTGGAACCATGCACAATGTTTTGCTTTCATGGTTAGGAACAACTCCTTTTAATTAGAGGATAGGGACAACCAAATGCAATAAAACATGTGAGATGGGAAGTGACATAATATAATGGATTGACATGGGTACTTTTCTTTATCTCATTTCAAAATTTTTGTTTCTTAGCTGTTCATGGTTAGAGGTTTTAAAAGAGGAGATGATTGTAAATTCAAAGTTGAAAGGAATCAACATGTATTAACTTCTTCTTTTTTTTTTTAATGAAAACATGTACTAATTTTAAGTAGGCTTAATTTAGCAATCTTGTCTTTTGAAGTCAAATATAAAATGCATGAACACAACTTCAAACAAATAGTATCTTAGAGGGGGAGAGCATTGATTGACATTTGGAATGGTCTTCAATTGATGACCGGAAAAATGGTGTTTGGAAAAGAGACATAGCTTCTAAGGTATGTAGATTTTCATTTTGTGATTCTACAATTTTTTCACATTTTAGTTTAGGGTATGAGTCTTCTTCTTCCTCTTCATCAAGATTGCCTTTACAAAACTGGCTGGATGTTGTGAGTTCATTTTGTTCTCTTCAACTTTCTTCTATGAATTGTTTTTATCTTTTTGGCCACTTCAATTTTCTTCTTCTTCTTCTTCATCTTCCCCTTTAACACAAAAGGAAATAATTATTTCGCATTTTCTTTAATCTCTTTTCACCCTCTTGGTCTGTTTCAAAATTTTGAATTTAAGACTTTTAAACTTAAAATCTCAAACTTTTCTATAAGTAGTATAGATGGGAATCAAAATAAAAATATGAAGTGAGAGTTGTTTACTTTGAGAATATTGTCTAAGTAGTAGGATCTGCTATATAATTTGGCTACACATGTATTATGTTATTATATACATGATGGAGACATACAATCTTATGTCACAGGTTTCCTGTAGCTTTAGTTGCATAATTTTCTTAATATGATTCCTTCTGTAGGTTAAAAACATGTTAGTTATTTCATAGTTGCTATAGTGGCATCTGCACCTTCATGAGTGTGCGGATGAAGAAGACTCAAGGTTTGCCACAAAAACACCACCCTTATATTTTATTTTAGTGTCACAAAATATACCAACATCATCTTCCAAATGAAAAAGATCAGAAATATCTATATATTTTTCACACTTATATATACTCTTTTTTAGAAGCTTTATCTGAAGATGGTTTGTTTGGAAAAAGGCAATGCTAAATACTGAGGCTGCAACTGGAGGTATTAATCCCTATCCTTTTGTGGATATTTTTGTTATTCTTGAAGTTTATCTAGTTTCTTTTGCATTGTGTGCTTCAACTTTTAGGCCTTTTATATATTGAGAGTATTGACATAAAATTAAGAACAACAAATGATTAATTGTGTCTCATTTTCTGTTGTAGAAGTTAGTTAGCTATTTAAGGTTAAACTAACATAACAGACTTCACTATTTAGCCTTGGCAATGTTTTGTGAGTTTGTGGTTGATATACCTTACCCAATGTGAAAATGTGTTTTAGGAAATATTGAAAACATGGGAATTTTATGTACGAGTTACATTATATTGGATACTCAATTAAGTGATTTGATTCTGTGTGATTGAAAGTTCCAAACTTTGACCATGAATATGTGAAGACTTTATTTTGGCTATTATTGTATACTCAACTGAGCCTTCATTCCTATCCCATTCTTTCATCTCTCACTTTCTTTTTTTAACTTTCATTTTTGAACAAAATCAGAAATATAGAAATCCATGCAATTTGAAAGCCTTGCATGAATTCTCTATTTTCTATCCGAATTTATGAATTTTTATTTTTCTGAAACAAATAAAACTACAAGTTATGTTATATTATTGAAACTTTTACAAACTATAATACATATGTGTTCATTTAAAATTGACCTATTTAGTGTTGGACCCAACACCATACCCTACAATGTAGGGTTGTCCTACTAGTTTAATAATAAACGTAGCAATAATAATATACTCCATATATCAGTCACTGATCATCTGGGTTACCATTGAACATCTTCTTGAATCGTGCCACCTTTAATGCTATAACCACAAGTATCCAGTGTTTGACATCATCCACCCATTGAAAATATGCATATCTCCAACTTTTCACAAAAATCAAAGTTCCAACAACTCCCCAAAATCCAGTTGCAAAGCCTGACATCACGACAATGTAAAACCACATTCTTTTAAGTGCACCTTCATTGTTGTCCTTGAAGTTGGTGATTGTCGGAGGCAGCGTGTCATTTGAGCATTTCATCAAGAGTGGAGTTCCACAGAGATGAGGATTACCGGTGTAAATGGTTGGATCTTCAAGTGTTTGAAGCTGATAGCCTGTTGGAATTGGCCCTGACAAGTTGTTGTAGGACAAGTTGAGGTGGCTTAACTTGGTTAAATTTGACATGCTGTTCGGGATTGTTCCTGAGAGGCCATTTTGGGAGAAATCAAGAGATTCCAAATTCTCCATTTGTCCAATTTTCTCGGGGATCTTTCCTGAGAGATGATTTTGAGACAAATTCAAATTGTGCAAATTCTCAAGGAAAATAAGCTCCTCTGGTATGGGTCCTGTTAGCTTGTTACTCGAAAGATCTATACTAATCTGGAGTCTCAGAGTCGTTTTTTTGTACTCAAGGTATCTCCCTTTCACAACCTCCAACAAATGCGCCAAATCCAAATACGTAGGATCAAAGACGTAGATCATATTTGCTGCATTCATCATAACTGGAAACTTTCCAAGACAAGGAGGAATCCTTCCTGTCAAATTGTTATCTGCAAGATCTAGAATTTGCAATTGAGAGAAAGAGCACAATTCCAAAGGAATATAACCAGAAACCAAATTTCTTCGTAGTCGAAGAACTTTTAAAGCATGGTTGCCAGTCTTACCCCCCACAATGCTTGTTAAATTTCCAGAGATTTTATTTTCACCCAAATCCAAAATTGTTAAAGAAATCAAGTTTTTCAAGACCAAATGTAGTTCCCCTTGGAGACTATTGTTGTTCAAGAGCAATACAAATAAAGAAGAAAATTGCCCCATTGTGCTCGGAAATAAGCCCGAAAGATTGTTAGAAGAGAGATCAATAAAATTGAACGATTGATCATTTCTCCAACAATTAGGAATACTTCCAGATAACATATTGTTTGAGAGATCAAGAAATAGCAAAGCTTTTGAATTGCACAATGACTTTGGAATTGAACCGTTCATGAGGTTATTTGTAAGAGATAATCCATATAGCCCTGGCATCACATGACCGATGTTTTCTGGAAGAGGACCTGAGATGCTAGCATTAGAGAGATCAACTATCTTTATTCTCTTGAGCAATTGAAGCCATTTAGGAAATCCTGTTCCAAATTTACAAGATGCCATGTAGATATATGCAAGGTAAGGAGGAGGTCTCCAGTTAGATTTCATCTCACAACTCAAGTTGTTAGACCCAATGTCTAAAGATATCAACTTGAATAGGTTTGCAAAGTGAGCTTCTGAAATGGCACCTTCCAAAGAATTACGTGCAACGGACAAGAGTTTCAGGTTGGAAAGCTTACTGATACTATCTGGAAGTACCCCATTCAATTTATTTGAATGAAAGTACAAATGCTCCAGGTTAGAAAGTTGCCCAATGCTCTCTGGAATATTCCCACTCAATTGATTTGCAGAAAGATCTATGAACTCTAACTTAGAAAGTTGCCCGATGCTATCTTGAATACTGCCACTCAATTGATTTCTAGCAAGATATATGCTCCTTAACTTAGAAAGTTGTCTGATGCTGTCTGGAATACTCCCATTTAATTGATTTGCAAAAAGATATATGCTCCTTAACTTAGAAAGTTGTCCGATGTTATCTGGAATACTCCCATTCAATTGATTGTTAGACAAATCAATGATCTCTAACTTAGAAAGTTGACTGATGCTATCTGGGATACTCCCACTCAATTTGTTGCTAGAAAGATATATGCTTTCTAACTGAAAAAGTTGCCCGATGCTATCTGGAATACTCCCACTCAATTGATTACTAGAAAGATATATGCTCTTTAACTTAGAAAGTTGCCCGATACTATCTGGAATACTCCCACTCAATTGATTGCTAGAAAGATATATGCTCTCTAACATAAAAAGTTTCCCAATACTATCTGGAATACTCCCATTCAATTGATTGCTAGAAAGATATATGCTCTCTAACTTAGAAAGTTGCCCGATGCTATTTGGAATACTCCCACTCAATTGATTCCCAAAAAGATATATGCTCTCTAACTTAGAAAGTTGTCCGATGCTATCTGGAATACTCCCACTCAATTGATTACCAGAAAGATCTAGGCTCTCTAACTTAGAAAGTTGTCTGATGCTATTTGGAATACTTCCATTCAATTGATTGTTAAAAAGATAAAGAAACGATAATGAAGTCATGTTTTGGAGAAAAAAAGGTACTGGACCATGAAAAGAGTTCTGTGAAATATCAAAGTGCTGAATATTTTGAAGAAATGTAAAATTAAGGGGATGGCTGCGATATGGTAGGTGAGAATTTTTTAGACTACAGCCTGACAGACTTAACCATGAGAGTGAAGGAAGCATGCCAAGTACTTGAAACAAGTTTGATGATGTAAGGCCTAGATTTACTCCACTCATATCAAGAAATGCCAATGAAGTCATGTTTTGGAGAAAAATAGGTATTGGAGCATGAAAAAAGTTCCACGAAATATCGAAGTGCTGAATATTTTCAAGAAATGTAAAATTAAGGGGATGGCTGTCAAATGGTAGGTGAGAATTTTTTATACTACAATCTGACAGACTCAACCATGATAATGAAGAAAGCATGCCAAGTACCTGCAACAAGTTTGATGAGGCATGGCTTAGATTTACTCCACTCATATCAAGTTGTTGCATAGAGGAAAGATGAGAAATCTACTGAATGTCATCATCAACCTTCAATGCTCCGCCATAATAGTCAGCAAGATCAAGAACATGAAGCCTCGTAAGATTTCCAAGTTCACCTGGAATTCTTCCTTTGAAGTTCATAGAAGAGAGATTTAGGTACCTTAGCTGCTTCATCAAACCAAAGGAGGGTGGAATAAGGCTACTGTTGACGTCATTTCCACTCAAGTCCAGGTGTTCCAAGTACCTTAGTTTGAGCAAACTTGAAACAACCTCCTCTGCATCATCAATCAAGTACAATTGAGGTTGATCAAATATGGATCCCCTAACTTGAAGCGAGACAACATGTCCGCTATTTTTGTCACAGCCTATTCCTCTCCATTCACAACAGTCATTGCCTTTCCAAGAAGACAACATATCAGAAGAATCATTGAAACAAAATTTGAACTTCAAGAGGGCTTTTCTCTCCCCCTCTATACAATTGAAGCTCGTCTTCCCACCGGAACAGAACTCTGCAGCTCCAAAGAACAATACAGCCACTAGAACAAGCATAGCACGGAAAGTTTCCCTCATGTTTATGGTTTCAATATTGTATGGAAGATGGATGTGGTTTTTAATGTTGGTTGCGCATTAATATATAGTCTCATGGATAGGCAAGTTAAACACGTTTTTCGAAAAACTTGGCCCACACATTTTTTGAAAAACTTGGTCCTGTGAGCCAAGTGGTATTAGTCACTCTTGTAAGGTTCACATATCCTTTCCAAAGGGCAACGGTTTTAACCGGTCCTATGACTAATATGTTTAAAAAAAAAAAAACACGTTTTCCAAAAATTACCCTAAAGAAAAAGATTCCGAGTAAGTAATTAAAGCAGTCAATTTTTATATTTCAATCATTATCACTCAGGCGCGTTCGCCAAGACTTGGATGTCATTTTGGTCCTTAAAGTCAATTTAATTAATGCTTTCATTGTCCTTTTGCCCCACCATATTAATAATATAGCTTTTACAGGTCTTGTGCTACTGTTGTGCAACGTGAAGACAGGAAAGGTATGAAAAATGGCTTTCCATTCTTGGAGATATCTGTGGTTCGTAAAAATTCTCTCTTTTTACCCATCATGGAAATATTGTGTGGAAGATTAGTTGATTTTAATTTTTCTTGGATAGCCGACGACTTTTTTTTTTTGTTTTTTTTCAGATATATGATTTTTAATTTTGGTTGCACATTGTCTATATATATATATATATATATATATAT